CAAACTCCTTTCAGTGCAGAGCTCTCTGTCCCTCCAGTTCAGGCTTACCCCTGAAGCTTAGTGGCCTGCTTTGAGGCTGGGGTGCGTGGCCTGTCCCTTGATTCCTTCTCAGCTTGCTCTGCGGCTGGCTCCTCTGGGAGCGTGTGTGTATGTACATGGGGTTAAAGTAAGAGGGGCAGAGTCTTACACAACAGTTGCTGTTTTCTGGGAATTGGTAGCCTCTGTTATGATATGCTGGCTCTGTCTTGTGGGGCACATGTGTGGGTTCTTGGAGACCCCTACCACAGGAAGGAACCTCTGCATTATACTGATCCCTGAAATGAGCAGTGCTCTCTCAGACTGAATGTGACTCTCCTGCCCATGGTGGTACACCCACAGCTCCTTTCTGCTGGGGCCTCTGCAACCCAGAAGGCACACCCTTTGGGGTGGGGATCCTTTAAAGATGGCTCAAGCCCAGCTACCTTCCCAGGCCTCCCCTTGGCTCCAGGTTAGAGAAAGCCGTGCATTTTGCCCCACACCAGGTTGAAATTCAGCTTGACCAACTGTCCTGTGCCCCTCCCATGCCCTCAGTCATCCACTCAAGGACAGTTCCAACTAATTTCTGGACTTTTCTAGGCCCCTCCCGCCCATCTCTTCATGAATGTTCCCAAGCTCCAGGGAACACATCAGGTATTTCTGAGAATGCTCAGGCTCTGCTTGCTGCCAGGAGTGGGCCAGTGTTTCTATGGTTCGGTTAGCATCCAGTTGGGGAGGAAGATTCTGGTCTGTCCCTCTGCTGACAATCCCAGTCACTGTGAACGGGCCTCTTGGGATCTGATGCATGTGGCTTGTGGGGTAGGGCAGGGCAGGAAGCACACAGTATTCTCCACTTCTCTTTCCCGTCAGAGAATCTCTTTTTGAATTTCTCATGGCCCCTTATGGAGGTGACTGTCAGTTACCAGTTGCAAACACTTTTTGTCAACATCACCTATTAAGATTAGGGATATGTGTCTAGCAGCTCCTTCAGAACATGGGGTAGGTATCACTTATTATACTTATCTCTGGGGCTTTGGCTAAAATCCTGTGACACCAGGGAAAGTCCACTTAACATCCTACTACTCATAATGGTTTAAAATATGGATCCAATTTCCTGTGAACCTTCTTTTTACTTTCATGCTGTTTCATAAGTAATAGTGAAATGCAGGACTCCTTTGATAGTGCTGACCATGGTATGGTTTAATAGACCAGTGTAGCAAGCATAATTTCCTATTCAAAAGGACACAAAGAGGGTTCTATAGCATATCACATATGGAAATGCAGTTTGGTCACCAGGGTTCCTTGTATTTGATTTATTACTCTTGATTCAGTACATTTTGGCTCATGTACTTTACTAGTTAGAACAAAGATAATATTGTGGAGCATCTTGTACTAATAGTATTCTAAGACAAATGTGTTAAGTCAGGATTTTTTTCATTACAGGGAAAGTTATAGAACCATTGGCCTATATTGGGTCGGATCTATTATTATGAGCATTGTTGTTTTTGTGCCAGGAAACATTGTAGGTAAGAAACTTTATCTTAAAGTTCACTTTCCTTTTCTGAAACAATAGGAATTGTTTTTAAATAGGGAAGCTATTATGGTTGTAACAGAACCAAGAAATTCCAAGTATACCAAAAAAGCTGTTTTGCAGAATTACTCCTTTTCCCTTCCATCTCACCTTCTAAGAAATGCTTTTGAGCAATTTTCACAAGTGTACACTGAACAATTAGACTATCTAATATCAGTGTTTCCTGACTTTTAGAAGGATCTAGTGGGGTAAGTATTGTGTTTGTGGCTACATTCAGTGTGAAAATATTTCCTACAACTCCTTGTATTATATATAACTCTTGACACACCATGGGAACTTGATAAATGTACTTGAAAATTAAGATTCTTGAAAGCTAATGTAGAAGTTACTTATGCGCATGCAAGAAATCAGGATATTATATTGTCTATTTTTAAAGTGCTATAGATAGGGCATGCCTGTTAATAAACGCCTAATAATTTTAAATTGACCTGTTTTTGGTCTCATTAAAAGTACTGTCTGGCCTATATCAAAATTTTAGATGACTTGAGACGGGGAGGTGTTCTACATGTTGTGTTTGGATATACTTTTGACTTTCTCTTTTTTTCTCTCTTTTAAATAGGGAAGTATGGAACACGCATTTGCCCTGCCTTTTTCTTAAGCATACCATATACTTGTCTTCCTGTCTGGGCTGGTTTCAGAATCTATAATCAGCCATCAGAAAATTATAATTATCCCTCAAAGGTGATTTTATTAAGTTAAATGTAACCTGTTCTCAGACTCACAGGGCTCACTCATATCCACTGGATACTGGATTGAACCATATGCCTCCAGGGATGGAGCCTTTGGAGCATGCAATCAGTGTGACATGTGCTGATTCTGCAGCATTGGTTCACACCTTAGTTATGGTGGCCAGAATGGTCTGTTTCAGCGTGAATAGATCTGCTTTGATTGGCCAGGCCATGCTTTTTGGAACTTCCTGTGCCAGAGGTTACACTGGCTCTTCCCATCAGATTCCGCATTAGTATGTGGAGCGTGAGGTTTGTCTGGGGCTGTTAACAGCCTGGAGTCTGAGCACCTGGGTACCTCTTTCAGAGATATCTATGCACTACTGCCCCAAAGGGAGGCTGGAGAGATACTGCTGTTCCAGGTAGCACACACAGACATAGGGTCTGATTACCAAGAGATCCAGGCACCTGGAGACTGGCTACAGGACGTCTTCTGAGACACCTCCCTTTCATTCACAGCCGAGGTGGTCAAGGTGAAACAATACTGGCCGGGCAGGTACTCTGTTAAGGTCTTCATTTCTAAGCTAGTGACATTTTTCTAAGTTTCTCTTCCTTTCATAGGTATTAGATCCTTAAGCAAGATCCTTTAAGCAAAATTGATATATGAAAATATGAGTTACTAGAGATAATCAGAACACGATTCTTCATTTTACAAAAAGACTTACAATAGAATTCATTAAAATACATTTTAATTTACAGACACATCATTCATTTGTAAACATTTAGACACATGCTATGTAAACTCAGCTTGGCATATTGACAACTGGTACTCCCTTACACCCTCTTGAGGAATGAGGTGATTGTTAAAAAATAAGCGAACAGTAACCTCACTTGGCTCCATGTCAGTGTATCAACACCGTTCTGTTCATGTTGTAAGACACATAGACTGTTCATTTAAAAAAACTGTTAAAACACAGTGATGGCCGGGGAGAAATAGACATTGTCATACAGTGCTGGTAGGAACATAAATTCAGAATCGCTCTGCAAAGCCACCTGGCAGTGTCATCAACCTTACAAATCTAACTTTTTAATCTAGTAATGCTACTTCTAGGGCACTATCCTAAGAAAATCATCAGAGATGCTCTCAAAGATTTATGTACAGAGTTGCTCATCATTACATTAAGTGTAACAGTGAAAATGCCTAAATGTCCAATAATCAGAGATATGGCACTTCCATGTGATGTTGTTTTAGAAGAATTTTTAATAATGTGGTAAAGTACTGATAGGTAGATAGTGAGAGGCAAGAGAACAAATGCAAAATTGTTTATACATTAAGTCCTAATTTTGTGAAAAAATAAATGTAGATTATATATCATACATACATATGTAGTACAATGTGTGTGTGTGTATATATATATATATAACTATATATATGTGACTGGAAAATATAACAACTGTTAATAGAAGTATGATGGGTTAATGGTTTATTTTTAAAAAATGAGTATATTTTACATTTATAATCATAAAAATGCTTTTTCAAAAAAATATGGCCTCATAGAGCCAGAAGGGCCCTTTGAGATCACCTGGCCCAGTCTCATTTCACAGATGAGGAACTGAGACTTGAGGGGAGAAATTATTTTCCTGTAGGATGGCTAGTGGTTTTGAATCTTCAACGTTCTCTTATCACCCATCAGCATTGTATCTATGTTTCAGTAGATCTCAGATTATTCTTTGGCACCTTGGGCCTGCTCATTAGTTACCAACTCTACTTTAGGTCATTCAAGAAATCCAAGCGAAAGACCTGCTGAGAAGACCATTTGATTTAATGTTGGTTGTGTGTCTCCTTCTGGCAACTGGATTTTGCCTGTTTAGAGGCTTGGTAAGCATAAGAGATCATAATAACATAAAGTATATTTTTAATCAGATTTGCTAGTGCCCTAACAAAACATACCTCCCATTAGGGCCTGGAGGCCTGGACCTGCTTCCTGACTCTCCTACCCTCACCCCAGACCTCTCCTCCCAAAGGGGTAGGTCTCTTCTGGGCTGCTCCATACCACCTCCTTCAGGTCCTTGGATCAAGCTCTGTACCTGAAAAATTAGCCATTAGTCTCATTCTTTTGGTTCCTTTGATGTTTCCGATTTAAGTATCTTTGGTAAGGGTGGTAACTTAAGACTAGTCAAACTGTGGCACAGAGCATCCATGTGTTCTCAGGAGTAGGGAGATGGGATTGAGGAAGGGGTACCAGAGTAAAGTGTTAGACTCCTGGCCATTTACTAGCTGTGTGGCCTTGGAAAAATCACTTAACCTCTTTGATCCTCAGTTTCTTCTTCTGTAAAATAACAGTACCTACCTTACAGTAGTTTGAAGATTAAATAAGGCACATCGAACACTTGCAGAGGGCCTTATACCTAATAAGCGCTCAGTGATTGCTCTATTTTTATTGATCAAGGATCCTTCACAACATCCCAGTTTCATGGTTTATTCTCAGTAGCAATAAATTTGAGCAGCCAGAATTATACAGGTAATTATATTCAGCTTTAATGACAATTACTGTTCTAAGGCTGCTGGCATTGCACAGCAGTTGGGGGGCAGAGTGGCAAGTGTAAACTGATGCAGCTGACTCATTGTTTTGGGGCGGCTAGCTGGGTCAGGGTGAGTAGTCTTAAGAGCTGTCTCCCTCTGTGGATCATCAGAAACTTCCTGGAGCAGAGTTGGCTAATAGGAGTGACACGGGGAAGGGAAGTAAAGGAGAAAGCAGGGCCATAGGCTTTGCTCAGACCACAGAGCACTGAAACCATTCTTTGTTTAGTTTGCTGTAATTCCTAAAGTCAAAAGAACAAAAACAGCAACAATAAAAATGAGCCCCAACTGTTTTCTTGCATAGCCATCTCCACTCCCCTGTGCACATGAGAAAAACGTGTGCATGGGTGAGTGTGTACCCTTTGGTAGGTGGGGCTTTTTAGGTTGGGGCCCATTTTTACCAACTCTGCCACTGACGTGTTCATGTTATTTAGGTGGGACAACATTTATGGCTAAGGACACAAGGAATGGTACCTGTGACTCAGAGGGGACCCAGTAATGTGCCAGAGAGACACTTCGTCTGTTCTGTGGCCTAAAGTCTACTCTGCTGTGACTAAATCTGCTCTGCCCTCTTTCAAAGTGGATATAGGAGGTGGCTTCAGAGAGGACCTCACTTTCAAATCATTATCCTTTACTGCCCCCAAAGGCCATTTACTCTGTGAGGCACTGGAGATAGGAGGATGCTATTTTTGAATCTTGCAAAGCACAGTTAAGATGAATTTGGTATAGAAAAGTACTTTTCTTCCTGCAGGGAATAGCTGGTGAGTTATTCCCAGGAAAAGTGAAACTGATCATCTAAAGCAAGCTGTGCTTTGGTTAGCCAAACCTAGACATTTAAACTGAATACTCGAAAGATCCCAAGAACAGAGCATTAGTTTCCATTTCCTTCTCCACTATTAACCTCTACTTAATCTCTTCAGAGTAAATCTGTAGAATATTTATTTTCTTTCCTTTTTTACTGATGAGCTTCTAAAATAGCTTTTGTTAAATAGAAAGCAGCTTGTGACTAAAGCTGGCACGTTTAGCCTTATCAGCAAACATAAGAACCAGATGTGACTGTATCTTTATAATGCATTCGTTTTTGTTCGTAGATTGCTTTGGATTGCCCAGCTGAGCTCTGCCGATTATATACGCAATTTCAAGAGCCCTACCTAAAGGATCCTGCTGCTTATGCTAAAATCCAGGTCAAGTAGTTATGAAGCCTAAGATTTTTCTAAAATTAATTTTCTTTTTTTGTTTTTTAAGAATGGGAAAATGTGATACCATGTAGGAAATAGGAGTTAACGTTTTCTAAGGCTAAAATGTTAATTGATGGAAATGTTGTGCTTTTCGTAAGGCCAGATTAACTATTAATTTACTGATGACGTTATTTCTCTGTTCAATGTAGATGCTGGCATATCTGTTCTATTCTGTCCCTTACTTTGTGATGGCGCTTTATGGCTTTGTGGTTCCTGGATGCTCCTGGATGCCTGACATAACACTGATACATGCTGGAGGTCTAGCTCAGGTACTAAGAATATGCTGTTAAGAAAGTTTATTGGGGATTTGGCTGTCATTGTTGAGTGTCTAAAAAATCTCTCTGCTCTGTGTTTTAGGGTTGGAAACAGTTATTAGATAGGTTGTGCCCTTTGCTTTACAGTTCTTTGGAAGACATTTCTGCATTATTTAAATCTCATAATCTGGTAGGTGCGCCATTCAGTTATACAGATGAGGAAACTGAGGCCCAGCAAGGTTAAATGATTTGTTCAAGGTCACATACCCAGCAAGCGGCACTGCTGTTTCTCAGTCTCTCAACACCACAGCTACTAAAAGAGAATTGAGAGCTGTTATCATTAAGATGTCTATCTGAATTTAAGATTTCAGAAGTTCACTATATTATGCTACACAGGAACAGGGAAACTGGTTTTAAAAAAGTTCTGCTCCTGGGAAGCTGGGCCTGTCATTCCATTCCTCCCCTCTGCTACTTAGCCAAGCCTCTGGCCTACAGTAGATGTTCAGTGAATGCTTACTTCATTGAACTGGGAATGAAATTATCTATGGAATTATCATTCAAAGCATATTTTTATAACATAACAACTATCAAAACAAATTGATCTTATGAACAAGGAAGAAAATTATTTTGTTCTTTTCTTACTGTAAATTAGAAAACCCAAGTGAACTCATCTTTTAAAATCATTATCTTTGTCCCGCTCTTTTTTTTTGTTCCGCTCTTTTTAAGCAGGCATAAAAATGAGGTTCATCCAGGAACTCTAGGCATATACAGTTAAGTATAATTATGATGGCAAAAAGACACACTAGAATTTACAGGGTTTAAAACCAGTAACAGCATTTATGGGTTAATACACTGGGCTCAATCTTTGCAGTCTGAGGTATTTCTTCTTAACTATAGAATTAGAAAATATCAAAAACAATTGATGCAGTATTCAGAAGTAATGTTTCCTGTCCTTTCCTTGAAGGACATAAGGAAAGAGAACTAGTATGTACCCTCTTTGCAGACCTCTGAATACCTTATTTCTCAGGCCTTGGTGTGGGTCTTTATTTCCATATCTTTCAATACCAACTATAAGGTGATGACTTTTCATTTCCCATCTTTAGCTCAAACTGTTCCCAGACTCTTATATTTAATTCCGAACTCCTTCTTTTCACTTGGGTGTCTTACTGACATCTCAGATTTAATGTCTAAAATAGGACTTCTGATCTGCCCCACAACTTCTCTTTCATCTCCTCATCTCTGAAAATAGCCCTTCCTGGCATCCAGCAGCTCAAGTCAAAAATGTGTAGTTCTTTACACTTCCCATTCCCTTACCGTCTATGTGTAGCCCATCACTAGGTCTGGTTAGTTCTCTCGCCAGAGTAATTTGCAAATCCACCACTTTTTTACAGCTCCACTGCCACTACGATAGTCTGAGCTCTCATTACCTTACTTCATGCAAGGCAAGCCATGCTAAGTGTTTTACTTACCTATTTGTGTAAAGACAGGCTGTGTGCTCTGCTGGAGTAGCAAATACCCAGTGGTTAAAAATAAAGTTTTATTTATTGCTTGTGCAAAGATCATGTGGGATATTTTCAAAAGTCAGGCCTGGCACCGACCCAACTGCAGAGGAGGCTGATACATGTGGTCTTCCTGTCTGCCTCAGAAGAAACTGTGTGAACACATAGCATCATCTCTGCAAGTTTTTCAAAAGCCTCACTTAAAGATAAGCAGGCCAAGACCCAGGGTAGTTACTTGCCTAAGGTCACAAAGTTACTAGAAGAGGGATATAAGATCCCATCTGACTCCAAAGCCCATATTCTTCTCTGTTGTGTTATCCCTCTCCTCATGCAGACAACTATGCTCCAGAATCCTACAGCAGAGTAAGACTTTGTATGTGGCGTGTAGGAGTCAGAGGACCTTCTGGGAGTGGGAGGCAATGACACCTGAGCTGTGGGCTTTACTGGCTAAATAGACTTGAAAAGACTGCGGAAGCGTTTAGATGTTGGAGTGTGCCCTGGTTAGAGGGTACAGAGGGCCTCCCACTGGCCCCACTCTTACCAGCCCCTTGATTAGATTGTTCAGGGTTCAACATCTACTCATTACCCGTGTGCTTTGCCTGCACAATCCAGCTTCCTCTGCATGCCATGTACCTTGGTCTGCCCTGCACCAGGCCCTGATGCAGGAACACTGAGTGTCATCAGCTAGGAGGCTGACAAGAGTGAGGCCAAGTGTTGGACCTGGTCAAGTCTCAGGAGACAACTTGAGAACTAGGCAGGAAGACCTGGGCCAGGGCCTAGCCATGTGCACAGGGTCAGCAGAGTCAGGAGGCTTAGGATGGTCAGAGCTTGGGGGTGAATGGGTACTTAAATCTGTAACAGTAAGATGAACCCTACACTGTACCTGCTAGTGAAGCTAAGCTTGCAGACAGGCACCTGTGACGCCAGCCAGGAGGTTCTGGGAAAGGCAGTGTGGATAGCAGAGCGGCTGGCAGCAGCAGTGGCAGTTTCAGCCATACGCCAGGCCTTGAAGAAATCTCTGGTCTCATCCATCACTGCCCAATTTGCAAAGGTAGCCTGAGGCTGTCAACTAGATTCTATCAATGTCAGAAGGATGTTTCTCCCAACCCAACAGAAAAATGGTGTAATCTGAGAATTATGTGTCTTACATTCCCATAACTCTTAGCTGGGCTTTAATATCTACCTATTCAGAGTGTTCAGCCTAAGGAAAAGTTACAAGTCATATTGCAACAAAACAGTGCATATGATGAGAATGCTGAATTCCAGTTGTGTGATTTGTTTTCTGCTTAGCGAATACTTGTTCACGAAATGAATTCTCATCTTGAGAGGATATCGGACACATTCATCATAGAAGCTCTCCATTACCTTGATTAGCACCCCGAGCTTGCTAAAACTGCTATTCCTAATTTAGAAGCTTTATGTATTCATGATCCCACTAACTTTATCAAAATCTGCTTTTATTGTAAGATCTAGTGAACTCCCAAGAACCTGTGACTTAATAAGAAAAAAATCCTTGAAAAACTTCTAGACCAGTACAAGTCAATGGAAAACATGGTTAGTAGTTATTAGGCCCCTCATTTCAGACCATTTAGGAATCTGCCAAACCTGCTGCCTTCAGAAATCAAAAGATAAATCAAAAGGTAAACTAAAATGCAATAAAACCAGGACACATTTTACACCGAAGAGTTCCATTGGGGACTTTAACCCAAGGGTCTTTTCATATAAAATTAAAGTTTCAAGTCTAATTTGAAAAGTATTACAGGCTGTTTAGATCTACCTATTAGCATTTTTTAATCAATTGAAGAATTTTTCTCTGCTAAAATATCACTGAAAATTAAAAGAAAAGATATAGTTAATATGGTTAAGACCATGAGCTCTGGAGGCAGACTGGTTCGAATCTCATTCACTGATCACTTCAGTGACCTTGGTCACTCACCTCTTTGATCCCGTTTCCTCTTCTATAAAGTAAGAATAATAATTGTACCTTTCTCATAGAGCTGCTGTTAAGGATTTTATGAGGTAATATGTGTAAAGGGCGTAGAGCAGTGCCTGGCACATTATAAGCTGTGGGCCTCTTTGTTGCTTTTGTTAATGTTGTTGTTAGAAGCTTCCCAGTAAGAGTTTGGAGGAGAAATGCCTTATGTTGCTCAGAAGATACATTAATCTGTAGCTGTGTGTTGTGTATAATTACCTAAAAATCAGAGAAACTGGAAGAAAGCTCTGGGACAGATTCACAGTGGGTTTGGCAGGGAGCCTGCCATGCCATCCAATTAACAGCTCGCAGCCATGGAAGCAGGAGCAGTTCCACTTCAGTCAGGCAATGCCAGTGCCCCTTCCCACCTGCTGCCTCAGACTCTCCCACCCCCTGGCTATGCAGGTGCCACATACTTTCTCACAAAAGGGTCTGGAGGCTCATCTGTGGATAATTTGGTAGTCAAGAGTTGACTCTACTGGGGGACAAGTTTTATTAAGTTTTTTCCTTTATGGAAGCCTTTAAGAAAACCTGAAAGTAAAAGTTTAGGAAGAACATGGATAATTGGGATACTAAAGCAAATCTCATTTTAATCATTTGCTTCTGATGTGATTCATCACTAAACATCTTTTTTAGTATTAAAACTAGAGCTTGGGTTTAATGTCTTTTTACATGCTTGTTATCCTTTGGTGGAGACAGTCTTGAAATTGTCAAAAGATCAGCAAGGGAATCTAAAAACAAAGGGCCCAGGTTTTCAAGCAAGTAAGAGTGCCAGATCAGGAACAAGTATTTCACTTGGGTTTTTTATCTGTCTGTGGAAGAGCTCCATGTGCTTGGCACTGTCCTAAGCACTTGACAAAGATCAACTCATTGAACCTGTATAACAATCCTATGAGGTGGACTCCTGCTTTTCAGGTGAGGAGCCAGAGGTAGTTACATACCTAACACAAGGTCATATTGCTGGTTTTCGGTGAAGCTGGGATTTGACGCTGTCAATCTGGTTCCAGATTCAGTGTTCTTAACCACAAGACTATGGCGCTCAGAAAACCCTAAGAAACGGTAACACGGTTCTAGATTAGCTATTTATACCGTATCAGCCAAATAACCTGGCTACTGTCCCAATGTTCACATTAGTTTTTGCCTATGATATTTATGTGGACATACAAAACTCTTTCAGTTCTCCTTTCTGGAACCAAGATTGTGATTTTTAGTCAAATTCTTTCCAGGCTGTCTATAGGAAAACACAGTTATTAAAATTTAACCTTTTTCTTTGCCTTTACTGCCTCATTTTCCATTCCAACCATCCATTCTTAAAAAAAAAAAAAAAAAAAACCAAAGTAAATCTCTTAACTAAATTTAAGGTGAAAAATGATTTAGAATGAAGTAGAAGAAAAATTATTAGGGGCTCAACCTCACACCACTGAATTTTGGAGAAATTTCTGGGACCCATAACTTGAACATATAATCTTGGCCATGTGTCAGTTCAGCAGCACTGAGGTCACCAAGCCACCAGATCCTACTAGCACAGTGCTCAGGCTGAGCTCTTCGGCCCTGTCATAAGGAGGTCTCATGTGCTGGTGGGAAAATCACCCAGGAGACACGGTGCAGCCCCTTAGCAGCTATGTGCTTGGGAAGGGAACCCTTCTCAAGTGAGACTGAGGGTTTTCTGAAACTTCAGCACCCTGGAAACTGGACACCATATGTCTTGGGAGGAAGCTATGGTTGGATTGCTCACTCAGCTAGAGCTGAGGCCACTATAAATACACCCATTAGAACCATGAGCAGTACCGGAACTGCAGAAAATTGGCCTCAGGCTCTTCCTCTCAATTACATACCTCTTTTGATTAGAAATGCAATCATCTTTGCCCCTTGTTAAACAATTTTGAAGCAAAAGGCCTACTAAAATAGGTATAAAAATAGAGAAATGCTTTGTAGAAGCTTTTTTGTATTTTGACAGTCACAAGACCATTACTGTTGAACGTTTATTGAGCTCTAACAATGTGATAGGTGCCACACAAAACATCAGACACAGTACCTGCCCGGTGGGCTTACAATCTAATCTAAGGACACGATCATTTTTTAATGTTGCCATGAGTTTGCTGTTTGTGAAAATGAGGTATTAACTGCACTGGTTAGTGCAGCAAAAAAGCCTATGAAATCAGACTTTTTAGCAGGTTCCCTATGCAAGTAGGCATGATTGCTCATATTATTCTCTCAAACTATGGTCCGCATTTCCCCAAATTTGGTGATTTTTGAGATGTGTATAAGTGTCTATAAAGATAGACACCAAATGCACATTTCTTAAAACCATCGTTCAAATCTGGCCTCTAGTCCAGAAGAAAAAATTTAGTTACATATTCAGAAAAATACTGTTATTCAAAATAGGCCCTAGAAGAAAATAGTGACGGGGGCCAAGTTCCTGTTCAGTGTTCCTAGAATGTCCACAAGAGCAGCTCCTCAGGGCAGCCTCTCAAATGTCCTTTACTCTCAAGGTGTTTTGTCTTCATAGCCCAGAGATGAAATATTTAACGTTTGCTGGGTTCTGTTTGGGCATGCGCCCGGGGGGAGGTGTGTTTGAGGGCAGAGCCCTCTCAGTGCCTCACAGATCACAATGCAGACAATTCCTGCGTTGGCATTGGCGTTGGTCCCTGGGTCCTTGGCAACACACCACACTAATTTAATTTCTATCTCCAGAAAGCAGCAAAACTACCAAAGGCCCCCAGAATGTATCAGTAACTTGCAAAAATGTAACCTGTTAAAATCTGTCACTGATACAATCTGTATACATACTGCTTATGAAAACTTGTCCTTTGCTCATCATAGTAAAGCCAAGTGCTAAGTAACACTTTTATCTGTGTTAACCACTTAGCAGAATAAACTGATTTATTAACAACTTAGCAGAATAAACTGATTTCATATGGAAGGAAATGTAAGATAACTCATATGTATTTAAAGCAAATTATTTAGTTTCATTCTTGTTACTTCTGTGCCTTCTTTAGATTATAGTATCTTCTGTCTCTTCACTTTGATCCTGATGAACTAAGTCACCACTTATTACATTTAGATTCCCAATCCTTTGTGTATATCTTGAATTTCAGTAAGATATGAAATGCAGACTCCAGGACTGCATTCTGTAATGATACAAGGATCCTGAGGAAATACTTTCACAGAAGGCTTTTCTAATAGATTCCCCTGTGCTTATGAAAAGTATCAAAAAAGACCAACTGGCACATTCTGAATGTATGTTCTCAACAAGTAATCTAAGTACAAATGGGAAGCTCTTGCCTTTCTGTTTTGTAAACTCAGATTATGCTGACAAGCCATACTTCTAAATAATTTGATTTGAAAAGGTTGCCTGCATGTATATTTGCCATTTTATAAAGAGCAACCAAATCCCTACCCCCACCCTTATCTTACAAAACAACCCTTAGTATTTTTTAAGTTGCATAAAAAAACAAATATGTGAATAAATAAACAAACAAATGCATAATGAAGGGCTTTGAGCTCTTGCTCCAAGGAGTAGGTGAAAGAACTGATAAATGAAGCTGAGGCCCTCTCTCAGTGCTTCTCTTTAAATAGTTAGGCTAAAAATATTTTAAGCTGTCTAAACTCTGTACTTGCTTCATTTTTATTGGAACACATTTTGTGAGCCACAACTGAGTTCCTATATAGGATATCTCCAGAAGGTAAATCAGGAAAAAGCAGATTTTATTCAGATTTTTTGTCAAATTGAGCCACTACTGTTTGGTATGGGGGCACTAGATGCGTTAAAAAACAGCTAGCCTGATAAAGACGTGCTAAAGGTTTACTTTATTTGAACAGTTAAGTCAAGACTGGCCCTAAATTCAATGAAATATTGAAGACTATGGATTGTTTGAAAGTCCTGGTTTTGAGGGCACAGAAGCATGGTCTGAATGAACCATTCAGAACTCATCGTGCATCCAACTAAACGCAAAATTCATGCTTACCACCCCCCCCCCTTTTTTTTAATGCAACAGGCTCAGTTTTCTCACATTGGTGCTTCTCTTCATGCTAGAACTGCTTATGTCTACAGAGTCCCTGAAGAAGCGAAAATCCTTTTTTTAGCATTAAACATAGCATATGGAGTTCTTCCTCAGCTCTTGGCCTATCGCTGTATCTACAAACCAGAGTTCTTCATAAAAACAAAGGCAGATGAAAAAGTTGAATAAAAGCATTATTTTATGTTCTTTCTCTCTAGATTACTGACTTTTGTTATTTTGGTACCAATATTTGGTCCCATTCAACTCTCTTCCCATACAGGAATATTTAAGAATACATAAATTCTTGCTCCGTACTGTATATGTGAGCTATCATAGGAATTATGTGGATAAATTTTCTTTTTTTGAAGGAAAATTGAAGTTATTCAGAAAGCTTGTTTAAAGAAATATATTTCAAGTTATTTGTGAATAAACTTGACCATCTATCTCAATATTCTGTTTGCACACTTTAAGTGAAAAATTACAATTTAGCTCCTATAATAGCATGAAAAGGAAACTGTTCAAAAGTGAAAATGGTCTATATGCATATTAAAAATTTCAAAGTAGCAAATACAGATGGAGAAATATTTTTGCATATAAGATCTATATGTTTCATTATCAACCTCAATATAAAAGACAAATTATCAGAATATTTAAAAATGTTGTTTGAAAAATGTTTTCCCAAGGAAAGTATATTATTTACTGCTGTTTCAAAAATTGCTTTTACTGAAATTTTTCTGTGAGTCTAAATAGCTAAGGAGGGATCTATAACTTTATCATTACCCTTATTTTATTGGTGACTGGAAATGTTTCTATTGTATTTCTGTGTGTATTTTTAATAAATTATTTTTGGTCTTTTATGAAGACAAATCTTATTAAATTTGAAACATTTTGTATATTTTTTTTTCAGAAACAGTTCTGTAGTCTTTACGCCTTTTGTTTTAAAAATCTGTCAGCTATATTTCCAGTTCAAAATGCCACCTATATTCTCATGTTTTAGTGTGAGCAATGAAGAGGACTTTTCATGAATTAATTAAATTTCATTACTTTTAAATTAAAACATTCAAAATTAAAAAGTACCTTTTAAAGAAAAAGAAGTGGACTGGCATTCCTACTGTCTTTTAATGAACTTTTCATATTTGGAAATGTGAGTGAGTATAATAGAGGAAAATCAATATTTGCTAAGTAAGAGAAACAAACCAAAAATCCAGCCGCCTCCTCAGAGCCCGGGAGTGGTAAGTGGACTGGCGCTTTCATGCCCTCAGCTGCCATCATCACCACCACCACCACCACTACCATCATCATCATCAATGGCCCTAAGCTTTTAGGGCCACTCATGTTTTTCCTTCATGTTATTTACTAGCTCTTCACCAAAATAAGAAAACCCAAAGAAAATGGGGTCCAAATCAATGCATGGGTAATGTCAAGTGTGTGAATTTAGGGTCCACTGAACTGGTAAGTATCTTAGACGTGCAAGCAATCATGTAGCCAGTTCCTCTCCCTCCCCACAGTGTTTAAAAAAACCCTAAAACCCATAGAGTGTTAAAAAAAAAAAAAGAAAACCCTCACCTGCACTTGATTCTATTGTCAACTTGCTGTTAACAATTTTTGCTTTAATATGTGAATTACATTAATACCTCACATTACATATATGAAGCCAAATTACACTAACTTAGTTGTTTACAACCTCAAACCTTACTCCCAGTACACATTCCAATAAATTTATTCTGTAAAAACAATACATTTTTTTGTTTTTGATTTTTTTTTTTACAGTAAACTTTTCAACTACAAACCTCGAATACGCGAAAGATGTTCCAAGGACAAGCATAACAGGACTGATAAAACCCAAACTGACTAAATGTGTTCTCACAATATAAGCTGGCATAAAAATAAATAAAATTTTCTATTATCACAATTGCAACAATAATGTACACATAATAATGGTTTGTGGATGAGTATTAACTATTCTAATTCTAGTTCCAAAAGAAAACAACAGATCATTTTAAAAGTCTATATTTAAAAGTCAATGCTTTGTCTTACTTCCCATAGGGCTACTGCTGATTCCAGCTTTAAAATGTAAAGAATCCAGCTTGAGTGATTAGCTCAAATTGTATTGAGATTGGGAAAAAATAAATCATTGCCTTTATTTTGGAGTAACACAAAAGACTCACTAACTTCACATATAGAAACTGAGTTTGTGTACGTTAACATGAGTTTTGAGAAGTATAAGCTGTCAACTAGCTATTTCTAATACGGAATAGATATTTTACAATATGATTAAACTTTACACATGACCTCAAAACTGAAGAACAATTTTAAGTTTATCTTCAATATGCCAACATTGTGTATCTAGGAATTGGTTCCTGGGTTCTGTCACAGAGAGGAAATCCCTTAAGCATTATGTTGAGTGGTCATTTTAAAAAATGCTAATTTATATTTAACTGAGTGTTTGGTGATGGTGGAGTAAAGGCAGGAGACTGATGAATATAACTGCCTTGATAAAGGATCCTAGACTTGTATAAGCTTGTGCAAAAATCTGGATAATCCTTAGTGGTTAAGGGCAACTTCATGCAACCAAATAACATGAAATTAAATCAATAACCTTAAAAAAGGCTAAAATGTCTTTTTTCCCCCAAACACAACAGAGAGGAATGTGAATAATGTACATACAAACTGGGGTTCTGTCAATGACAACAAGGACTATGTGTTGGTTCATATCAAATCCAAGAATATTAGACAACCAAACGTATAACCTTCTTGTGGTTTTCTTAATATGCAGCATTCATTATGGTAGTTAGGTCTGAAAAAAAAGAAAGAAAACAAGCCTTTAGATGATTTTGAATATTAAGAATAAAAGCTATCCACACCTTTATAGTATATAACTGGGTTTTCTGAGATTCCAACCTGCACTGCAGCATTAACAATACTTAGCAAGAACAGCCCCTGAGGCTCTGCTTTATACCGATTAGTGCAAAAAGCTAAAGGAATGACTAGGGCATTTTTAGTGTTCCATTAAGAAAAAAAAAAGGGGGGGGGCTTCCCTGGTGGCGCAGTGGTTGAGAGTCCGCCTGCCGATGCAGGGGACATGGGTTCGTGCCCCGGTCCAGGAGGATCCCACATGCCGTGGAGCGGCTGGGCCCGTGAGCCATGGCCGCTGAGCCTGCACGTCCGGAGCCTGTGCTCTGCAACGGGAGAGGCCACAACAGTGAGGGGCCCGCGTACCGCAAAAAAAAAAAAAAAAAAAAAAGTATTTGAAGAGTATGCAGATTATTCTGTATAATATTTACAACTTAATTACTTGTGACATATGGCTCAAAGAAATACAAAAGTTAATAAAATCAAGATGTACAAAAAGAACGGAAGCCTAGATTTCTGTTAAAATTTAGATTACATCCATGTGACAAAGATAAAATATTTCCGTTTCCTAAAAGAATTATGTTTCAATTTTGGTCCCACTTTAAATTGTATCAGGTTACATTTCCCCACAGGGATGCTATTTTTGTTTTCTTCATCATTATCCCAAATACATTAAACCCCTTAGTAATGTTCTCATGAGATGAATGAAAGAGGGAACTCGGGCCCCCAATATTTTTTCTAAAAACAGCCTGCTTCAGCTCTTTACTTCACTGAGTGAATGAACTTGTTTGTAAGCATACATGTGCTCACTCATGGGTATGTTTTCACTTATGCAGCCAAAATCTATCCTGTACCGTACATAATACAATATACAAATAATTCCAGAACCTTCAAATAGGAAAAGTTACTAAACCTACCATCCACTCAAGATGGCAGAAGTACATTTCTTAGCCTTCTTTGTTCCTACCAAAATGAGAAAGCTAATCTTAAATAAAAATTACATTTAAAATCTGTGAACTTGCAAGATTCAGTGCCTCGTGACTCCTAACAAAGAAAAACACTAGAAATAAGATTATACTCACAGACTTTGGAGGATTTTCCTCCCTTGTGAAGGAGGAAGACACCCATTAAAACAATGAAAAATTGTTAATCAACCAAAGAAAATTCTTTGTAACAATGTCTTTTTATTAATATTAATGTGAAAGGCAATACATTCTATGTTTACATTGGTAGAAAATTCATAGTAACAACTACTCAATCCATGTTGAAGAGTATATTTGGAACAGATGGTCTGCCTCAGAATATTATTAGTGCTCCAAACAAAGTGCAAGTGGTAGCAAAATGTGACTATAACTTTAAGGACATGCTTTTTGGGGGGCGGGGTCTTTAAACAAGGTGCTATCAAATGAGTACTTATAAAACCAAATTATAAATCTAATTTTTTTAACTTCTCATACCATAATCACACTCTGTGCGCCTGTGTGTGAAAATATATCTTGTTAATTCATAATGGTGAATGTCCTGGACACACTGTTCTGAGTATTTGCTAGACTAGAAGTCTCCACATAAGCAGCCAGAATTTGTTCCTTAGTGCGCTGGTTGCCATGCTCAGCTCCACACCACTTCTATGCTGGATAATGGCTGGCTAATCCAATCAGATTCTCTCTTGAGGCATTTGAATATGAGGCACATTGAAAGGCTGTAGGGTGGCAGTGAAGCTGAAGGACACCCAGAACATAGTAAGCAGAAGTTATGAGGCAGGTGAAGTCATAGGATCATTTTTTTTTTTTTCCCATAGGATCATTTTATGGAGCACCAGTTTTACTGCAAAAAATGATGACAGATAAACTATGGTTATTCAGACTTGGGCATTTGGCACTTTGTCAAAAATAAATGAAACGAGCCTATTATTTCAAGGAAAATGGCAGTATTTGTCGCCAATGATAAAATCTGAGCTTTTAAGTGAAAATTAGAATTCTAGAAAACTTAAATCCTCCACAACCAACAGCTTCCCAAAACGTAGATTCTTCTGACAAGGCAGTGATATTTAAAATGTGACAAAAAAGATTTCATAATGAAATATTTGGAAAACTTGAGTAACTCAGGGAACAAAGATTTTCCAAATGTGTGAAAGCTATTCAAAGTGCCAGACAGTCCAATGGATTTTAACCAAACAGAATACAAAGGGTTCAGATTCCACACTGCAACTAACCTCTGAGAAATTACCACTTACAGAATTGGTGTAATATCAGAGAATACACACAATGATATGAAAAGACTGTTAAAATACGCATAACTCCACTTCTCAACTACATGTCTATGTAAGACCACATTTTCTTCCTATACTTCAACCAGAATAACATCACAACAGACTGAATCCAGAAGCAGATATGAGAATCCTGCCTGAGGTCTTCTATTAAAGCAGACATTAAAGAGATTTTTAAAAATGTAAAACCGTGCCATTTTTCTCAAAAAATTTTTGGGAAAATGCACTTTTCACAAAAACGTGTTATTTATACTAAGTAATGGGTTTATTATTATTTTAAAGGAAATTAATATCTTAAAATTTTGTTTTTATTTCTAATTAAGTAAATATCAATAGCTATATCAAAAACTCTTTGGGGCCCTCAATAACTTTTAAGAGTATTAAAGGGGTCCTGAGCCAGCTTGACGAACCACTGGCTTAGAATAAATGAGAGTGAACGGTGAGAAATGAGGCTGAAAAGATAAATTGGGGTTGGAGTGTGAAGGCCATTATATGCTGAAATAAGGAGTCTGGGCTTGATCTAGAGGGCAATGGTAAGACATAAGGAGGCAGCACTATATGGCAGGAAGAACAATAGTTCCAGAGTCAGAAGAATAAAGGTATGAATATTGGTTAGTGGTTATAGTGAACTCTCTGGCTGTCCTCCCAACATTTATTCTATCCTCTGCTCCTCCCCACAATTATGTGGTAGCCTTGTAATTTGGGGACTTGACTCCAGCTCCAGGGATGGGGAGAACCTGACTGGTCTGAGCCAGTTCTAATCCCCTTGTTAGCAGTGGATGGTTCAGGGATGGGCAGCTTTCTGACATGGATCTCAATGATGGCTGCCTCCTGGTATTCATACCCTTGTGTAATACCCTCCCTTTGAGTGTGGGCTGGACCTTGTGACTTGCTTCTAATAAACAGAATGAGGCAAAAGTGATGGGATAACAAAAGACTGACTTCTGTGTTGCTAGCATTCTCTCTCTTGCTAATGAAGCCAGCTGCCATGTTGGAGTTGCCTTATGGAGAGACTCATGTGGCAAGCAACCAAGGGAGGCCTTTGGCCAACAGTCAATGAAGAACTGAAGCCCTCAGCCCAGTAAACTGTGTGTAACCAAATCCTGCCAACAACTTTCTGAGTGAACTTGGAAGAGGACCACCCTCCGCCCCCCCCAGATGAGCCTCAAAATGATTTGAGCCCCTGCTAATACTTTTAACTGCAGCTTTGGAGAGATCAAGATAGAGGTATCAACAAGTTACATCTATTTGGATTCCTGACTCATAGAAAATGCTATTTTAGGCCACTGAGTTTTGGGATAATTTGTTACATGGCAAGAGACAATAGAGCAGGTATATTATCTGCATGGCTTCCTGGCCACAAAGATTAGTCCCCTCCACTTTATAGCCACATGAATCAAGAAGGGGAGCTCTAAGTGTTCTGGAGCCTACCCCTTTCTGCCTCATGCTTCCACTAGCAGGGGTGAGGATGAAGGCAGAGAGCCTCTGGAAATAAAGGGGGTCTCAGAAGTCTGTGGGTTCCTTGAAAGAACCTCTTCTTTCCTTTCTTTATCAATATTCGTAACTTCAACACCACTATCTGCCTTGAGCCATCAATAATCCTTTTTCCTTACGCCCTTTATTCTTGCTTACTTCGGTTGCCACAAGATAGGCTCCAGAGCATCTATCACTTCCTGGACTCTCATCCTCAGTCACTTTATACATGTTTGTTTATAACCTCATCTCTTAAATGCTCCTACCGCCCCCAACCCAGATTCCTTAATCTCTTCCAGTGGGCCCCTTGGAAATCATAGCCATCAGCAAACTTCCTAAATTCATGATATATTTTACTCATTAACTTGTTCTAACTGAAACCTGGTTTCCCCTGAAGATAGTGCTGCTTCTTTTCCTGCAACCCCCAGATGGTAACTATTTCCTTTGCCGCAGCTCTTATACTACAGGCCCCCGAGGTGGGGAAGGTGTCCTTGATCTTAATGACTATTTCTAAGCTCTTCTTCCTCTCCCCTGTGCTTCCATCCCCAGGAAGAATAATCCTTCTAGCTTTTAGTCTCAATATTGTGAACCACCACCCCTCCCTACTGCAGTCACCTCCAGACACCCCGGGTCACTCCCCCTTTCTCCTTGAAGACTTTAGCTCTGGCCCACTGTCATTCAATAGCATAATAACTGCTGGATGTCGACATGCAGAGAGATCGTCTTTCCAACACTCTGGCCTCTTAAGTTCCTAGACTTCCTCTTCTCCAAAGACCTTGTCTTCCACCTTACCTCAGTCACTCATTTCCATAGCTATTTCGTAGACAAGTGTTTCTCAACCACTGAGAGTATTTGCAAATACTGTTTTAAGTCACTGTTCTTTTGGGGGGAATTATGGGAACATTTTAGGTTATTATAAGAACTTGGAGGTCCTGTGCCATTTAACAGGCAGGGGCCAAGGGTACTAAATGTCCTGCGATGTGAACAGTGCTCACACAATGAAAAACTGTCCCACTCAAAATACCAAACTCACCTGCACTGTCATCAGCACCTACTGCCACCCTTCCGCAGTTTGATCTAAACATCTTCCTATTCTATCACCACCTATCTTTCCAGCTCGCTCACTTTATCCAGTACTCCAAGAATTCTTGGATATGCAAAATCTGTTGATCCTATCTCCTTCCTCACATCCTTATTTCCCTCTGAACATATTTTGGATTCCATGGGTCCATCATTATAATTAATCCCTTCCTTGCATACACCCTCAGCTCCCTTGTCTTGAACCTCCTTTATTCTCTGGGCAAGCGCCAATTCTAGTTAAATGCAATTCTCTGCCACTCCATGATTGCACAATTGAATATGCCTGGAGAAAAACACACAGCCATCTGACTGTTCTCACTTTAAATTCATGACCACTAACCTCATGTGGGCCCTTACTGCTGTCTGGCAATTCAACTTCATTTCCCAAGTCCAATCACTCTTCTGTTCTTCTAAGTAACTATTTTATCCCTTTTCCTCTCCTTTAAACTTTCAACACTTCTTCCTGTTCTCACTCTCAAATGTTGACCTTGCTTCCTAAGAAGATAAAAGCAATCAGAAGAGAACTTTTGCACGCTCTCACCCCAAGTACTCATTTACCTGCCCCTGTGCCCAAACACTCTGTATTTCCTCCTGCTTCAGTGGATGGAGTAAGGTAACCCTTCCGGATGTGCACTAGATTTTATGCCTTCTTGCCTTCTGAAGAGCACTACTGTGGCAATTTTTTCTTACATTATTATTTTGTGATCATTCCATATTTGGATCATTCTCATCAGCATATGTGCTGTATATTCTCCCATCAAGAAAAAAAAGCCCCTCTGACCTTCTATCCTGGACCATGTCTATTAAATATTTGAAAAAAAAATTAGGCTACTTGCCCTATAAGATATCAGGACACATTATAAAGCTACTAAAATTTAAGAAAGTTTAGTACTGACCAAAGGAACAGAATAGAGAACCCAGAGAGAGACCCATGGCTATATGACAGATGACACTGCAGATCAGAGAGGAAAGGAGAGACTATTTAATAAATGGTGCTGGTTAAATGGTTATGCTATGGGGAAAATGCAGTGGGAGCCTATCTCATACTATACACAAAAATCAATTCCAGATGGATTAAACACTGAAATGTTAAGAACAAAACTTTACAATTTTAAAAGGAAATATAGGAGAATACCTTTCTGACTTTGAGATAGGAAAAGACTTCTTAAACAAGACAGAAAAACGATAACCATAACAAGGAAAGTTTGATACATTTGACTACAATAAAATTAAGAAAGTCTGTTCACTAACAGCTTAGAGAAGATATCTGCAATGCATATGACCACCCATGGCAGTTAGAATCCAGAATATGTAAAGGTGTCCTACAAGTCAGTAAGAAAAGAAGTCCAACAGGAAAATGGGCAAAAAACCAAAATCAAGCACTGCACAGAAGAGGAAACAGAGGTGGTCAATAAACATGTGAAAAGAGGCTCAACTTCATTATTGATCAAAGAATCACAAATTTAGACTGTAATTTACATCCACTATACTGGCAAAAATTTTAAAGTCTGATAATGCCCAGTTAGTCACAGGGAACTCATACACTGATGGTGGGAGTATACATGGATCCAACAACTTAGGAAAATACTTCGGCATTACCTTGTAAAGTTAAAAACCTTAAACTCATGACTCAGCATGTCCAGTGTGAGTTTACATACCCTAAAGAAACTCTTTTATGTGCATTAGCTCAAAAATGAGCAAAATTAAATTATTATTTAAGTATATACGTATATGTTAGGTATGGGATAAAATTTTGAAAATGAAAGGAAATAATAAATACAACGCTAGTGGTTATCTCTGGTTAGGAAGAAGGTAGGATGGGGAAGAACATGTATATAGATACACGTTATTGTTATGTTCTAGTTTTGGCTGAGTGGTAGGGTCTCTGGTATTCATTAAATTACCATGCTTACTACTTTATTTTTATATTATATATATATATCCTTTTGTGTATAAAATTATATTATTAGCAACAGGTTAAAAATAAAAAGATCTCAGGCTCTTACTTCAAATTCAGGCTCTGACTAGCTGTGTGACCCTGGGCCAATCCTTTCAGTTTCAGTTTCCCCAGCTACAAAATGAAATAACACCTGCACCTACCTCCTGGGATTTGTATGAGGATCAAATGCATGTACAGCATTTAGCACAGTATGTGGTACATGGTAAAAATGTTAGCCACTACTACTCTGACTCTGCTGCTGTTGTTACTTCTAGTAGCAACTATCTTCTTAGGTGCTTTCAAGTTATTAAAGTAGAAATGGTTTTATTAAATTAGGAAAATGAATCTACAATGCAAGAGCTAGAGTGAGAAGTCATCAGTAATACCTAACAGCCGAAACCACATGAGTGCATAAGATGGAAACAGGGGAAGCTTTCAGACTGGAAGTGTGCCAAGACAGCCTAGAGAAAAGTGCTCTAGAAGGAGACTGAGGAGACACTGGGAGAGGAAGCAGAAGAGACTGGTGACCTGGAGGTAAAGTCAGGAGAAGAAAGTGGCTAATGGTATTAAATGCTGCAGAGTAAAATAAAGACTAAAGGAGACACTGGATTTGGCAATGAGAGGATCACTAGGAACCTTTACAAGAGCAGTTTCCATGAACCGGTCAAAGAAGAAACAAGAGTGCCATGGGTTAAGGTAGCGGTCCCCAACCTATTTGGCACCAGGGACTGTGTTTCATGGAAGACAATTTTTCCACGGACCGGGGTGCGGGGGGGGAGATGGTTCGGGCGGTAATGCGAGCGATGGGGAGCGGCAGATGAAGCTTCCTTGCTCGCCCGCTGCTCACCTCCTGCTGGGTGGCCCAGTTCCTAACAGGCTTCTGACGGACAGGTACCGGTCCACAGCCTGGGGGTTGGGGACCCCTGGGTTAAGGCATGAGTAGGTGAAAAGATGGACGCTGGGAGAAAAAATAACTCTTTTAAGAAATTAGAGATAAAGAGAAAGGTAAAAAGAGTAGGATACATGGTGGAAGGGAGGTATCTTTAAGGTTAAGGGAGACCTGATACTGTTTATAGGCAGAGAGTAAGGAGCCAGCAGAAAAGAAAGTAAAGGTGTAGGAGAGAAAGGGGACCACCGACGGGGTTGTAGCCTTGGAGAAAGCAGAAGATGATATTCTGGACTCTGGAGATAGGAAGGTGCAGATTAGTGCTTCTCTTAATGTGCATATGAATGACTTGGGCGTTTAGTTAAAATGCAGACTATGATTTGATAGCTCTGGGGTTAAGCCTGGATTCTGCAGTTCTAACAAGCCCCCAGGTGATGTTGATGCTACCTGTCTGCAGACCACACACTGAGTAGTACGGGTGTAAACTACCTCTTCCTGTCATGGGAAGTACAGCTAGAAATTTACTGGAGAGAGGTCCAGAGAAGGAAGACAGGCAGAGGATGGGGTAAATTGAGCTGGCTGAGAGAAACAAGGGAATAAATAGAATCATAACTTGGGAAAAATTATGGGTAACTGGAAGCAGGAGGAGACAGTTGAGAGGTAAACAATAATGACAAGAGTAAGCAAGAACTCAGCTGAAACCAGAATTTAACTAAAGAGTAATAATCATTTATTTTATCAGTATTGTTTTAAAATGATTTGCTGCTGTCCAATTAGTCTTCATAAAGACTCATGGAAGATGACCAGGGGCAAAATCTGCCTTCACTAAAACTTTTACAAAGGTGGACTTGCCTATGACTTTGAAGTTAACAGAGGTTAACAAAAGTTAACAAGATTCAAAGTGTACAAGTTTTCCCCTTGGTTACTTTAAACATTAATATTCACATATAGCTTGAATATTTAAATGTTTAAAATCCCCATGGGTATATGAAATTACATACTGCTTCTAAGAAAGAAGGAGCAGTATAAAATACCCTATTTTGAACATGCCATTCATTTTATAATATAAGAAATACAACTGTCAAATTCTGAGGTGGCATTTTATAATTTCAATACTTCATGCCTGACTTCTAAAAAACTCTCAAGGTGCTGAAGTCAGTTTAAAAAAGAATAAACCTGTCAGAGTTCCAAACTGATAGACAGGTGTAATTCCCACCCAGCTCTCTTTTGTTCTCAGACTCTAAGCAACTGATCACTTATTCAGGAGCTGTGAGTGAATGTATATGTCAAGCTGAGAATGTTTCTCCATTTACTAAGGCAACGTTTACTAATGCTGAGATATGAAAGCTGTTCTGAGGCAAAATGTCTTCTAAGTTAACAGGAAGATAAGAGAAATCACAGGTATATTCTTACCCCTTCACTGGTTTTTTGCAAGTCTGAAGTTGTGTTTCTTGTGTCATTGCCGGCATCTCCACCCTCAGAGCTGCTTTTATTTTCTTCTTCTTTGCAGTCCTTGTCATCTTCATCTCCTGGAGATTTCCGGGACTGTTTAGAGGATTTCTAAATATTTAGACAAGTTAAAAAGTATAGTCAAAAGCAGAAACCCAAATGCACAAATGTAAGTAAGAAATGTAGAAGTAGCCGACCTATATCCAGTCTTTGTGGCTGATACGGGATATACCAATGCAACATGGCAGTGTGCCACGACTCAGCTAGGTGACCTTGGAGAAGTGATTTCACCTCACGGGGCCTCAGCTTAACCAGCTGGAAAGGAAGTAGAGGTGGGCTAGATAACCTTCTAGTTCTTTCCAGCAGTGTGATATTAAAAGCAGAAAACAGAGATTCACATACCTGGAACACTGTCAGTGAATAAATATAGCTGATGGACACCATTCTAGGAAGGCTACAGAGCTAGAAGGCACCCTAAAGGTCTCCTTGTCCTTTCCCATCATTTCACAGTAGAATGTGAGGCCCAGAGAAGCAAGGTAAACTATCTAGGATACTGTATGGATATTCATGTTGGAACACTTATGGAAGCTGTTTGGTTAATGGTATACATGGGATGATCTTGACAAAACTTTTCTATCACCATATGATATGAATTAACTTTAATCTTTTAAATTATGGATAGTTATTTAAGAACTCAAGGCCACACTGGTAAACTAGCCCTTTTTTTCTTATCAACTTGCATTTGAAACCAAGATGAACTCTACAGTGAAAATGAAAATACAATTATAGTTCGCAGCCAGAGCTGCTTTGCAGAACAGCATTAAAATGATCAAAAGCTGGCCCCACTGTGTACCTTTAAGAAAATAAAATGTAGCATTTCACTTACATTTCCTTTTTGAGAAATTTTATGAATCTTTAAGCACATGGCAAATAACAGCTAAGGCAAAACTCATTAAGGCAAGTCACTTTTGGTCTTACAGAAATGAATTAGCAAATCTGAGCTTCCTGAGACAATCAATATTTTTAAAATGCAACTTTCAAAGAGAAAATATCTTCTAGCTATGTGATAGAATATGTAATTACATTGCTTCTATTTTACTTAACTGAAACTACCAACCAAGCCCAAAATGTGAGTTTAAAATGACTTCATTTTTACTTTTTACAAGGAGGGAAAGCAGGGATTTAATAATCCAAACATGGAGTGCCTGGAGTTAAAGTTTAGATCAAGTATGATGATATAAAAAGTGAAATACTTTTGTTCTCCTAGTAAATACAGTATAATTATTGAAATGCAGTGGTTGCTTTATATAGTAATTCTCAAGTAATAGTCCTTGACTTGCAGTTCTTACAGATAATAGGCAGAACTCCCTAAAATGTATAGTGCTTACAAAGCATACTTACGAGTAATCCTACAAGTGAGTTTTTAAGCTTTATAATTTGATATACATAGACTAGAATTAGGGCATTACTATGTTTTGCTAATGAGTCACATTCGGTATTCTACTAAGAAATCTGGCTGCCAAGCTATATTTGGTAACCTTAGAAAGTGCTTACTGTGCTTATGCAGATCGTCGCAATTCCTGTAATTTTGGGGAAGGACCCTTCATCAGTTTCATCAATATGGTTTTGAATTGGTTGTGTGTCCAACTGTTGCTATCTTTGGTTTTTAACTAAGATTACTAACGGTTTACTATCATCATCAGTTTAGTTTGTTGTAAGGCTCTCTGATTAGCCCTACTTTATACAGTAAATAACTTGCATGCAAAATATTTTGCTTATAATTTTCTAGTATCTGTTATGGCTCAAATATGAATCACACATACACTTACCGCTAAAATGATACATATATAACCTCCCTCAAATGTGCTTATACTATGGCTCTTATGAACATTTTTTTCCACAGAAAAAACAGAATTAGGTGAGGTAGAGGGAAAGTGGGACTTCTCCCTCAACCTAACTTGGATGCAGTCAAAAAAGTTTGTGAACCAAAATTTTAGTGGTAAAGGAAGATTATTCAAGAAACAGATGTAAAAAAAATCACCATATTCAACAAAAAGGAAACATCGGGGAAGCCAAAGAGAGCAGTGAGGTTATACGAGGTAAGTGGTTCTCTAAACGTGGTTCCCAGATCAGCAACATCAGCTCGCTGGATATTTAATTCCCCACCCTGGACCCTGCCCTAGACCTACTAAAATAGAAAATGGTGGGGGGTGCTGACACTCAGCAATAAGCGTTTTAACAAGCCCTCCAGGTGATTCTGATGCATGCAAAAGTTTGAGAACTATTGTGCTAGGTTACTCGGTTGATATTGAAAATTAAAAATCATGGTTCTTAAGTGATCATGAAAGTTGTGATCTTGAAGGAAAGCAAAGGAAATGATTCTTTAATTTAAAATCGATACGCCTTAGTAAGTAAAGTATGTCTTTACCTCTTCATTACTTTAAATTATAAATCCACCCCAGGTATGAGCCCTATTACTTCTGGCTTTCACAAGAGTGATGAAATAATGACATTTAAAAGCCACATATCCACACTATTAAATACCTCAGGTACCTTAGAGGGCTTAGATAATTTAGGGTGGTGCAACACATTACACAGAAGCTCAGCAGGCAATCATAAACTAAATTAAATTCAACTGGGTGTTTAAATGAAGTCTAAAATGTTAAAAGAAATTCAGCTTAAAAAATAACCCCTATGGAACATACAGTCTGTTAGGGAAAATTCTAATTATTTTGTTGCCATTTGCAAACTTTACCCTTATTTAAGGCAGATACCATGTTTTTCATTAGGTGTACAGGAAGTAACATGCATTCATACAATTTTACCCGTATGCCAGTTGGGTGGATTTTATAGACTGTAAAATAAAATGTGGATAGTCTAAGAAACCCTTGATACTTGTTTTTAAGGAATTTCCTAAGTATATCCAGCCACTAAATACCAGAGTCTAAATGGAAGTAATTTGTCCAAGTATTCAACTGTGTGACAGACCAATTGCAGCAAAACTTGTACCCATCTTTATCTTCAAAGATCCATCTGCCTTGCTTTAAGTTTCTAAAAGGTGAACAATTTCCACAATATCATAGTTTTTTCAACTGTATTTCTGAATTACTGCATGAAAAACCTAAGCTTTCAATTTGTAAATCAAGGATCATGTCATGCCTCCAATAAATTATTGTTACATCTGGAATAAAATTCAAACTCCTTAACATGGCATGCCAGTCTCCATTATTTAGCCCTTGCCTGTCTCTCCCTCCTGATCATGATTCTCCAATCATGCCTGCCTTCTTTCAATCCAGGCCATGTCAAACTCTTCCCTCCCTCAGAGCTTTGCAGCTCTGCTACACGCGCTCCTCATCCCATGCTCTTCTTTCAGGTCTCAGCATAAATTTCATCTTTTCGGAAAGGCCCGGCCACTCTATCTAAATAGATACACTTATTCTGTTGTTCCCTGCTCCCATTCATTTCCTTCATAGCCCTTTCAGAATTTACAGTTATTTATTATTTGTTTTTTAACTCTGTGTTTCCACCCCCCCCAACCCACTGTATTGTAAGTTACATGAGGGTAGGAATGGCGTTGGATTTGCTCACCACTATCTACCTAGTACAAGTGTCTGACATAGAATAGGTGACCTGGAAATATGAGAACTGAACAAATAAAGAACCAAAGCACATTCTTTAAAGCAGAGAGACAAGAAAGAGTCTATCTTTATATTTACATCTATAATACTAGACATAGTCCTAAATTGTACTGAGTCTCCTATATTCCTAAATTCTTCAGGGCTCACCTGGGGGTTGTTATAAGAGGAATACCTGTTCTTACATCCTTGATTAAAGCACAGTCCTCCTCCAACAGAGAAGGTGCTATTTCCAGGGTCAACAGCCCTTATGAGTCAATACCAGTTACTGTCACATCTAAGATCACCTGTCTTATTCCCCTCAGATATATTACTGTCTCTAAAGGCAGAGGCTCCACAGAGCTAATATATTTCTATGTGCCCAGTGAATGAATTAAAAGTAATCTAAAAACCTTTAATGAATATGCATACAGCATTAACAACAATGGGAAAGGTTTCTCAGTAACCTTTGAAGTGTATGACTTTTTCCGTTTTGAGCCTGCTTTTTCATTCTTCCTTTTGCCTTTTCCATCTTCTTCTACTCTATCACCTTCTTCCTCACTGCTTGCATCTGCAGTATTCCCGCCTTCTCCCTCGGTTTCTGAAGAGCTCTGTTGCTGAATTGCCTAAGAGATAATAAAATATTAGCTAATTACATTTTTGAAAAATAGCAAAGACTACAGACTATGAAAAGAATCATTCTATTCTAATTAGAAGAAGTTCAGCTTACTCAAGATTTTCAAAATAAACGGCTGTCAACTTCAGTCTTCCAGTGACCAACTGACATGAACCCTCTTAAGGTAACAGAATTACAGGCATACCTCGGAGATACTGCAGGTTCAGTTGCAGACCACAGCAATAAAGTAAATATCACAATAAAGCAGGTCACATGAATTTTTTGGTTCCTCAGTGCATATAAAAGTTATGTTTATACTAAACTGTAGTCTATTAAGGTTGCAGTAGCATTATATCTATAAAAACAATGTGTGTACCTTAATTTAAAAATACTTTATTGCTAAAAAATGCTAACCATCATCTGAGCCTTCAGTGAGTCCTCATCTTTTTGCTGGGGGAGGGTCAGCCATGCTGATGGTTGCTGACTGGTCAGGGTGGTGGCTGCTGAAGGCTGGGAGGCTGTGGCAACTTCTTAAAATAACACAACAGTGAAGTCTGCAGTATCAATTGACAAATGATTTCTCTGTAGCAGGCAATGCAGCTGGATAGCATTTTACCCACCATAGAATTTCTTTCAAACTTGGAGTCAGTCCTCTCAAACCCTGTCACCACTTTATCAACTAAGTTTATATAATATTCTGAATCCTTTGTGGTCATGTCAACAATCTTCACAGCATCTTCACCAGGAGTAGCTTTCATCTCAAGAAACTACACTCTGCTCATCCATAAGAAGCAATTCCTTATCCATTCAAGTTTTAGCAGGAGTTTGCAACAATTTAGCTACATCTCCAGGCTCTGCTTCTAATTCTAATTATCTTGCCATTTCCACATCTGCAGTTCCTTCCTCCACTGAAGTCTTGAAACCCTCCAAGTCATCCATGAGGTTTGGAATCCACTTTTTCCAAACTCCTGTTAATGTTGATATTCTGACCTCTTACTATGAATCATGAATGTTCTTAATGGCATCTAGAATGCTGAATACTTTCCAGAAGGTTTTCAACTGACTTTTGCCCAGATCCATCAGAGGAATCATCATCTATGGCAGCTATAGCCTTACAAAATGTATTTCTTAAATAATAAACTTGAAAGTCTAAATTACCCTTTGATCCATGGCCGCAGAATGGATGTTGTGTTAGGAGGCATGAAAACAACACTGTTCTCATCGTACATCTCCATTAGAGCTTCTGGGTGACGAGGTGCATTGTCAACAAGCCGTAATATAAGATTTTCAAAGGAATCTTTTTTTCTGAGCAGTAGGTCTCAACGGTGGGCTTAAAATATTTAGTATACCATGTTGTCAACAGACTGTGCTGTCATTCAGGCTTTGGTGTTCCATTTATAAAACACAGGCAGAGTAGATTCAGCATAATTCTTAAGGGCCCTAGGATTTCTAGAATGGTCAATGAGCACTGGCTTCAACTGAAAGTCACCAGTTGCATTAGCTCCTAACAAGAGTCAGCTTGTCCTTTGCGGCTTTGAAGTCAGGCATAGACTTCTCCTATCTAGCTATGAAAGTCCTAGATGGCAACTTCCAACAGAAGGCCGTTTCATCTACATTGAAAATCTGTTGTTTAATGTAGCCACCTTCATTAATGATCTTAGCTAGATCTTCTGGATAACCTGCTGCAGCTTCTACACCAGCACTTGCTGCTTCACCTTGCACTTTTATGTTATAGAAATGGCTTCTTTCCTTAAACCTCTGGCATCAACCTCGGCTAGCTTCAAACTTTTCTTCTGCACTTCCTCACCTCTCTTAGTGTTCAGAGAATCGAAGAGAGTTAGGGCCTTCTCTAGATTAGGCTTTAGCTTAAGGGAATGTTGTGGCCGGTTTGATCTTCTATCCAGACTACTCAAACCTTCTCCACAGTAGCAATAAGGCTGTTTTGCTTTCTTATTATTCATGTGTTCACCAGAGTAGTACTTTTAAATTCTTTCAAGAACTTTTCCCTTGCATTCACAACTTGGCTAACTGCATGGCTCCAAGAGGCCTAGCTTTCAGCCTATTCCAGTTTTCGACATGCCTTCCTCACCAAGCTTAATCATTTCTAGCTTTTGATTTAAAGTAAGAAATGTGTGATTTTTCCTTTCACCTGAATACTTAAGATGCCATTGCAGGGTTATTAACTGGCCCAGCTTCAATACTGCTGTGTCTCAGGGGATAGGGAGGCTCAAGGAAAGGGAGAAAGGGGAACGGCTGATCAGTGGCGCAGTCAGAACACACACAACATTATCAATTAAGTTTACTGTCTTATATGGGTGTGGTTTGTGGTGCCCCAAAACAATTATAATAGTAATATCAAAGAGCACTGATCACAGGTCACTATGACAAATATAAGAATAATGAAAAAGTTTGAAATATTGAGAGAATTACCAAAATGTGATGCCAAGACATGAGGTGAGCAAATGCTGTTGGAAAAATGGGGCCAACAGGCTCGCTCAATGCAGGGTTGCCACAAACCTTTGATTTGTAAAAAATGCAGTATCTGTGAAGTGCAACAGAGCAAGGTATGCCTGTACATTTAATCCAAAGTGCTACTGGAGCCAGAAAGAATTCTGACTTCAAATGGGTGGTGGGTAATCATTAGTACAAAGGACACATAAGAAAGATCCAAAGAAGAGTTAAAATAAAAAATGAGATGCAGCAAGTGATAACGAAGTAAACCATCACCTGGTATCCAGTAAACTTTACTCCTGGGTTATTTTCTATTTCCCACAATCCTTCATTAAATCCTTTCCGTTTGTTTGACTTTCCAAACTTGTCTTTGTATTCCTTATAAGGGAAAAGGTCTTTGGGACCTAGAAATGCACTGCAGAGATATATTAGAAAGAGATTTGATATTCTGACCTTCAAATGTAAGATATTTTTAATATCAATTCAAGTGTCAGAGCATATTTTAGTAAATACATTAAAAGTATATATAAACCCTCTCAGACACATATCACAAGATGTTTTGCACATATATTTCAAGGTAGAAAAAATAGACAGCTAGGTATACAAGCCAGCAACCCTGGACGGTGCTACTTTGATTTTACTTTTAAATTACTAATTTCTTTTTTGTTTTGAAATTGATTTTTAGTTAAACTACTTTAAAAGTAGTTTTAAAGATGTCTACTTTGACCACTTAAATAATCATCTTAAACTAAGACTTACCTATGCTAATCTTTCACAGGTAAGGGTTTTGTAAGACTCACAGTAAAAACATAAACACTGGATTAAAAAAATGATTTTAACTCTTTCTGCCACATTAGTGTATTTATTCACTATTATTTCTATAAGTTAAAAAAAGCATTAGTGTTTAATGAGGTACTAAACAAGAAAAAAAATCAGAAGTGGCAAAGTAGATAGAATCTTAATCAATTTAAACCTTATCCTAAATTAGTCATAATTATGAAAAGAAAACGAGTTAGAATAAATCCTGGGGCTGGCTAATAGATCTGAGCATTTAAACTAGAGTCTTCAGCATTATTATCTATGATATTAACCTGGTGAATGAGATGGTGGAGGCCCACATGCTGGCTGAGACTCATTTCAAACTAAGATTCATTTATTCAACAAATTTTATCAAACACCTCTAATGGTAAAGCACTATTCCAGAGGTGCTGGGGATCCTTCAGGGAACAAAGAAATGAATGTCTCTGCCTTCATGGAGCATACATTCTACTAGCAAGCGTAGGGGACCAGACAGTAAAGAAGATAAATAAATAAAATACATAGTACTGTGTGCTGAAAATAAATCAATAAATATATAGATGAAGCAGAGGAGGGGGATGGTTAAGGACTGGGGTGGATTTTACAGTTTTAGAAATACAGATCAAGAAGGAAGGCCTCACTGAAAAGGGAACAGCTAAGAACTGAAGGGGGTGAAGCAAGAACCCATGCAGTTATCTGGGGAAGAGTAGAGCAGACTGAGGGAAGAGCAAGTACAACAGACCCTGAGGTGGGAGAATGCCTAGTGTGTCTGAAAAATTAAGAGGCCAGTGTGGCTAGACTGAAATGAGTGAAGAGAGAGCTGTGTGAGATGAGGTCAGAGAGGAACAGGGTGGGAGCACAGATTATGTCAGGCCTTGGAGGCCACTACAAAGGCTTTGAGTCATATGGGAAGCCATTAAAGGTTTTGAGAAGTGACAATTTGTGTTTTGACAGCGCCACTTTGGCTGCTGTGTTGAAAACACACTGAAGAGCTGGGTACTAGGGTAGAAGCAGAGAGACTAATTAGGCTATTGAAGGAACAGTGGTGACTCGGACCAGTTGTAAGCAGTGCAGTTGGTGAGAGGTGGCTGGATTCTGAAATCACTCTCAAGAAAGAGCCAAGGTATTTGTTAATGGGCTAGATACAGCACGTGAGAGAGAGGGTGGAACTGAGGCGATCCCCAAGGTTTTAGATTGAGCAATTAGAAGAATGCAGTTGATATTTACTGAAATGGAGAGATTTTTGAGAGAACAAGATTTGAAGTTGAAAAGCTTAGTTTTGGATGTTGAATTTGAAAACTTGGTTAGATATCCCAGTGAAGATGTCAAGTAGGCAACTGGGCAGGTGATTCTGGAATTCAGGGGAAAGGTCTGTGCTGGAGATAAATATTTGGAACTTATCGTGGAGATGATGTTGAAAGCTTTGAGACGATAGGTTAACAGTTTACTGCTGATTTTTATAAATTCCATTTTCTGACTGGATCATAGTACTGATCCCTTCCTTACACTGCCCAGCTGGTCAAGAATTCAAGTTGATAAAATCACCTGAGGAAGCTTTCTGACCCCAATCACCAAACTTTCCTTGACTGTTCACCTTTAATCGTTCAGCATGACTGCATTTCACTGAATCCAGAGATAGTTTATCAGGATACTGGACATTCTAACCAAATGCCTGACAAACTGAGCATGAGAAGGAAATGTGACTTTGGGTATGGTGATTTCACTTTTAGAGCAATCTGACATGAATTATTAGACTGTGGCTTTTGACCTTTCTCCAGTCCTTGATTCTATGTATAGGAATTGTGGGCTAAGTTGCCTGAGGTTCACGTCAGCTATAGATGCTAACCAGAGCTTGTCTGTACTTTAATTATGCCACGGGAGTCAAGGTTAATGATTCAACTGGCCATGTTAGCTGCTGCCAGAAAGAGGGACACTGAATGAGCTATTCTAAAACAAGTTCTTGTTTTTGATAGACAATCTTGGTTTTGCCCGGATTATAGATAGTTCCACAGATCAAATCCCCTCTCAACTGGTTAACTTTGCTGTATGTTTTATAAATTTTAAAGGGTAGGCCAGAAAATAGAATTGTTCAAAGTTACATGCTCTAAGGATGTTATTTTTTTTCCTGACAAAGGCTGCCTTGAAAATTGTCCAGACTAAAACTACTGGGGTAAAGTTATATGGAGCAGAAGAAATTGGGGCTCCAATCACCTATCTGTCTGAGCAACAGATTCAGAGCCATGTTCTGAGGAAAATTCTGGTCCTGCCTGAGGGTGCTCCTGCTGACACAGTTTTTTTGTTAAGTTCCTCACCTTCCACATACCTTCCCCCCCTTTCATTTATTTCATTTAATCAATTTTAATTCATTCAACAGCTAGTTTTAGAAACTCCTAAAGTCATTCTACGAGACCACCGTCACCCTGATACCAAAACCAGAGAAAGATACTACAAAAAAAGAAAATTACAGACCAATATCACTGATGAATATAGATGCAAAAATCCTCAACAAAATACTAGCAAACAGAATCCAGAAAAACATTAAAAGGATCATACACCATGATCAAGTGGGATTTATCCCAGGGATGCAAGGATTCTTCAATATACACAAATCAATCAATGTGATACACCATATTAACAAATTGAAGAATAAAAAACATATGAACACCTCAACAGATGCAGAAAAAGCTTGTGACAAAATTCAACACCCATTTATGATAAAAACTCTCCAGAAAGTGGGCATAGAGGGAACATACCTCAACATAATAAAGGCCATATATGACAAACCCACAGCAAACATCATTCGCAATGGTGAAAAACTGAAAGCATTTCCTCTATGCGAGACAAGGATGTCCACTCTTGCCACTATTATTCCACCTAGCTTTGGAAGTCCTAGCCATGGCAATCACAGAAGAAAAAGAAATAAAAGGAATCCAAATCGGAAAAGAAGAAGTAAAACTGTCACTGTTTGCAGATGACATGATACTATGCATAGAGAATCCTAAAGATGCTACCAGAAAACTACTAGAGCTAATCAATGAATTGGGTAAAGTTGCAGGATACAAAATTAATGCACAGAAATCTCTTGCATTCCTATACACTAATGATGAAAAATCTGAAAGAGAAATTAAGGAAACACTCCCATTTACCACTGCAACAAAAAGAATAAAATACCTAGGAATAAACCTACCTAGGGAGACAAAAGACCTGTATGCAGAAAACTATAAGGCACTGATGAAAGAAATTAAAGATGATACCAACAGATGGAGAGATATACAATGTTCTTGGATTGGAGAAATCAATGTTGTGAAAATGACTATACTACCCAAAGCAATCTATAGATTCAAAGCAACCCCTATCATATTACCAATGGCATTTCTTTTTTTTTTTTTTTGCGGTACGCGGGCCTCTCACTGTTGTGGCCTTTCCCATTGCGGAGCACAGGCTCCGGACGCATAGGCTCAGCGGCCATGGCTCACGGTCCCAGCCACTCCCCAGCATGTGGGATCTTCCCGGACTGGGGCACGAACCCACGTCTCCTGCATCGGCAGGCGGACTCTCAACCACTGCGCCACCAGGGAAGCCCTACCAAAGGCATTTTTTACGGAACTAGAAGAAATCATCTTAAAATTTGTATGGAGACACAAAAGACCCCAAATAGCCGAAGCAGTCCTGAGGGAAAAATACGGAGCTGGAGGAATCAGACTCCCTGACTTCAGCCTAAACTACAGAGCTACAGTATTCAAGACAATATGGTACTGGCACAAAAACAGAAACACAGATCAATGGAACAAGACAGAATGCCCAGAGATAAACTCACGCACCTATGGTCAACTAATCTAAGACAAAGGAGGCAAGGACATACAATGGAGAAAAGACAGTCTCTTCAATAAGTGGTGCTGGGAAAACTGGACAGTTACATGTAAAAGAATGAAATTAGAACACTCCCTAACACCATACAAAAAAATATACTCAAAATGGATTAGAGACCTAAATGTAAGACCGGACACTGTAAAACTCTTAGAGGAAAACATAGGAAGAACACTCTTTGACATAAATCACAGCAAGATCTTTTTTGATCCACCTCCTAGAGTAATGGAAATAAAAATAAAAATAAACAAATGGGACCTAATTAAACTTCAAAGCTTTTGCACAGCAAAGGAAATCATAAACAAGATGAAAAGACAACCCTCAGAATAGGAGAAAATATTTGCAAACAAATCAATGGACAAACGATTAATCTCCAAAATATATAAACAGCTCATGCAGCTCAATACTAAAAAAACAAGCAACCCAATCCAAAAATGGGCAGAAGACCTAAATAGACAGTTCTCCAAAGAAGACATACAGATGGCCAAGAAGCACATGAAAAGCTGCTCAACATCACTAATTATTCGAGAAATGCAAATCAAAACTGCAATGAGGTATCACCTCACACCAGTTAGAATGGGCATCATTGGAAAGTCTACAGACAACAAATGCTGGAGAGGGTGTGCAGAAAAGGGAACCCTCTTGCACTGTTGGTGGGAATGTAAACTGATACAGCCACTACGGAGAACAGTATGGAGGTTCCTTAAAAAACCAAAAATAGAATTACCTTATGATCCAGCAATCCCACTACTGGGCATATACCCAGAGAAAACCATAATTCAAAAAGACACATGCATCCCAATTTTCACTGCAGCACTATTTACAATAGCCAGGTCATGAAAGCAACATAAATGCCCATCAACAGACGAACGGATAAAGAAGATGTGGTACATATATACAATGGAATATTACTCAGCCATAAAAATGAATGAAATTGGGTCATTTGTTGAGACGTGGATGGATCTAGAGACTGTCATGCAGAATGAAGTAAGTCAGAAAGAGAAAAACAAATATCGTATATTAATGCATATATGTGGAACCTAGAAAAATGGTACACATGAACTGGTTTGCAGGGCAGAAATTGAGACACAGATTTAGAGAACAAACGTATGGACACCAAGGGGGGAAAGCGGCGGGGGGTGGGGGTGGAGGTATGATGAATTGGGCGATTGGGATTGACATGTATACACTGATGTGTATAAAATTGATGACTAATAAGAACCTGCTGTATAAAAACAAAATAAAATCAAATTCAAAAATTCAAACGAAAAACAAAGAAACAAAAAAACACCTACCATGGGCCAGGCACTGTGTAAAGCACTGTGTATATAGGGCTTAGCAACATCCAGAGAATCTCTGCCTTCACAGAGAGACTGACTATTAGGTACTTGCCAGGGCATATAATCTCAGGTTTAAGGACACCCAATACTTAGTAAATGATCAGCTGAAACAAAGTTATAACAGGTTTTCTAAGGTTCATTCTCCTCCAGATGTTTTAAAATTTACCTCAGGATGATGAAACCAGCAAAAAACTCACATACGGACTGTATCACACTGCTCCTTGGTAGAACTGCTTTTACTGAATTGAGACTTGGAATTATGCCACTGACTTATATTAAGGATGCTATAAGAAATAACTCCATAAAATCCTTCACACTGTTTACTGGAATGATTCTGTTACTTGTACTAGCAATATACTAGGTGGCAAATTCTTTAAGAGCAACTTTTATTTTCAGTGCCTTCAAAAATATCTAGAAAATGTTTACTAAGTGAATGAAAGTTACCACATAATATTAGTAAATGGTTGATTTTGGTGTATGCAATGGAAACGTGATAATCTTGTTTATCAAATCCTGCCTTGTTCTAGATATACAATCAGATCACTTGGAATTACGTCCTAAAGAAAAAGCAAAATAATGGTACAGACATAAGGGAAGCAGGAAT